AAATCTATCCCAGGAAAGGCAACACAGAGCCCAAGTATTCCCATTGGCAAATCCCACGGTTTCCCGATGAAATTTGAAATAAAAGGCTCAGTTTTGTGCATTTAAACAACTCTGCCACGCTCCTGTCCCTGCTGCCCGTGGAAAATCTCCCCAGATATCCAGCACCGGGCACAACAAACCCAAATATTTGTTGGGATGTTATCCCAAATATCGGCAAGGCAGGAAAAACAGCCAAAAGATGGGAAAAGAAGAGGCAGCAGAAGAGTTAAAGGCTTTTCTTTGGGAGGAAAATGAGGAGGAATCACCGGGAATCAGACATTAAAATATGGAATTAAAGCGGATTTTGGCATCAAAGGATACAGTCGGCATCCACACACCACACAGCTCCCGTGTGCCCATTGTAAGTTCCCAACCTCTCCCCGTTCACCGAATACCAAACATTGACAATCTACGGAGAGAAAAAAATGATTAAAATTAACGATCAGCGCCTTAATTAGGTCGCGTTAATTAGCGGAGCTGGGGAACACTCACGGGATCTTTGGCCACGGTGAAGAGCAGGTCTCCCTCGCGGTTGTATTTGATCTGAGTGATGGAGCGCTCGTGGCCCTGCAGCAGGATCGGCTTCTGCAATTAATGATTAAATAATTAATGAGTGAGGGTAGGGAAAGGGGGGTGAGGCCGGGGAGCGAGCGCGACCCCCGGTCCGGGGTACTGAGGTGGCCAACCCGCCTCCCCACGCCCAGGAGCCCCGGAGCGGGGGCGTGGAGCCGCTAAATCATCGGTGGCGACCGCAAATCGCGGCCGCCGCGCCTGTGGCGACCCCGCTCTCACCATGGCGGCCACGCTGAGGCCTGAGGGCGGCACTTCCGGGTTGGCGGCGGCGCGGCGGAAATGCGTCACTGTTTCCACGGCAACGGAACGGGCTTCCGGGTAAACCAGGAAGTGCGACGGCGTTGCCATGGCGACCGTGGGTGAGGGGAGAGTGATGGCGGCGGGGAGGATTTGTTTGGGAATGGGGGGGAAACGTGGCTGGGGGGCTCTGAGGGGGTGTGGGGGAGGTTGTGGGGAGGGGTCGGGCTCTTCTGGGAGGGATGGGAGCATGGAGTGGTTTGGCTTGGGAAAGAATTTAGGGATGATCCAGTCCCGTGGGCAGGGACACCGGCAGCACCCCGGGCTGCTCCAAGCTCCATCCAGGTGGCGTTGGACACTTCCCGGTGTTCCAGGGGTGATCTCGGTGTTCCCGGGGGGTGATGCCGGTGTTACAGGGGATGATCCCGGTGTTCCAGGGATGATCTCGGTGTCCCGGAGGTGATCCCGGTGTCCCGGAGGTGATCCCGGTGTTCCCGGTGCTGATCCCGGTGTTCCAGGGCTGACCCCGGTGTTCCAGGGCTGATCCCGGTGTCCCGGGGCTGACCCCGGTGTCCCGGGGCTGACCCCGGTGTTCCGGTGCTGATCCCGGTGTTCCCGGTGCTGATCCCGGTGTTCCAGGGCTGACCCCGGTGTCCCGGTGCTGACCCCGGTGTTCCAGGGCTGACCCCGGTGTCCCGG